CCAAAGCGCGAGTGATATTTAATAGGACTATTCCACAAGTAAAATTATGTCCACCGAGTTCTAAAATGCGTCAAATATTGAAAATAAATGAAAGCGTATGTTAAAATCAGAAGTTATGTTATAGTACATTCGCGGTTTATTGGATATCGACTTGGCGTTCGACGTACAAAACCGCCCCCTAAGTTAGATGAGACACTTTATGATTGACCAGTGGGAACAAGCGGTAAGAATAATCGGATAGAAAAAGTGGTAAACATGTTTGACATACACCGCCCTGAATGGGGAATTTTGTACGTATAGATAAACACTATTGGTTTTAATTTCACGAGTGGAATAGTCATTACAATAATACTACTTGGACGAAGCAGTTCAAAATCCCAAAAGTGACACAACCGTCTCTTCATATTCTCAGATTTAGCATTGTTTAAAATCCTCATACTATCAAGAAAACGTCTTTTACCATACAGTTAGAAGGAAAAAGAAAAATTTAGGGGAATGGAAGCTGCTAGAAAACACAAGATAATTTAATATCAACCAACTTCTTCCAATTATCGCTTGTAATGGCGACAATTTGCAAAACGTCAATTTATAAAGGAGAAATAAGAAAAGTCTCCTTATAATGCTCTCCAGAGTGATGCGAGTACAGACGTTTCAAATAGTTTCAATTACTGGCGTTTTATTGGTTTTTAATTAAATTAAACACTGTATAATAATAATTGTTTCTGTCACAAAATCTGGGAAATACTACAAGAAGAAAGTACGTTATAAAAATCCTCCTCCAATTATTTCGAGTTCATTTAGTATTAAAATAGAAAAAAATACTTTATTTTGGTCTGACAATGAGGTCGGCTTGCTGGAATCATTGTAGAACTCAAACTAGCATAAGAGAAGCATTTCACTATTAGATATATGCAGTCCATCCTTCGCTGTCAAGTATTGAGTAACAAATGCTGGCTCAGGCATTAAAAGTTGCATGGAAAGTTTTTATTAAAATAGTTAACCTTGTTAAATTTAGTGCTTTGAATTCACTCATGTTCAAACAATTGTGTGCCGAAGTTAATGCAAATCTTCAAAGTTCTTATTTTATTATTTCACACCAAGTGTAGCTGGCTGTTAAAAGCAAATAAGTTAACAGAATTGTTTGAAGTTAGATGTTTTAATAATTTTTGGAATACAAAAAAATACTTATTTGCAATGGGAACTATAATTTGAAATTCAATTTGCTTATTTTTGTGATTTTATTGGTTGAGTTGAATCATCTACAGCATTTGCGTTTACATCATTTGCAGTTACAGGATTCATGAATTTGAAAACTGGAAAATATTATAAATAAATATTTGATGATAAACAGCTGGGATTTGAAAGTTAATTAGAGCTTTGCTTTTGAAAATTGATAGAATGTAATTATTTTCTTTTTCTTAACCTTGAAATACTTTTCAGTCTCGGAATACTGTTAAGAGTTACAATTTGAATTTATATCTCACATGAGCTAAAAAAACAATAATAAAATAGTAAATCACTTCATCTACTACCTTCTGAGTGCGTCACTCGATTCTGATGATGTTTAAAGGTATATTCGCATAGTAATGACATTTCTGGTGAAAAAAATCATTGGATTTCACAGTAATAGTAATTTAAAATATTCTTTGAATATGGTGTAACCATTGAAGAGTTTTGATGCAATAAGTTACCCTAACATCCGGTGAATCGCCATTAGTTCATAGGGTTTTCTCAACAACGTAGTACCAATGTAATCAAAATTTCTTTGCATTAATAACCGTAAACCTAAAAAATAGACTGAACCAATGCAATTATATGTGGGTTGCCTTGGCCAAAATTATTTCCCCAAGTATCTCCCAGCTCTAAAAAAAATTTTTAAAAAAAGGCAATACATCACATTATCATTGGAGCAGAAGAAATCGAAGATATGTTGATCTACTCCAATCCATAACTATATTTAGTATGATATATTTATGTATCTTACTCAAAAGTATTTACCTAATTCTTTACTACGTAATGGATAAAATTTAAGGTTGTCTGTTGATCCGTCATCCGAACACTTTTTTGTTTATTTATTTTAAAAAACGATTTGTCAAATTATTTTCCTCGAAAGCATGCTATTCTTCTGTGAGGAAGAACTTTTTCCTTTATCATCTAGCCGTCAACTCAGAAGTAGAAATACGGCCCGCGGCTTCAATTTACTAGTGAAGCACTGCCAACAGCGACTGTGGTGAACTAAAATTAAGTGTTATCTCTATTGACACTAGGAAGACTTTTTTTACTCAAAACCAATTGTCTCAAATGAAATAGTTTACATTTAACGTACACAAATACACAGCATAACCGAAGTTGATGTGATGTCTTAGTCTTCAGTTCATTTACCAGGAGCTGAAATTCAAACGGATAGTTTATAGAGTTGGCCTCCATGAGCCTTATGAATAATGTGCCTACTCAAAGATACAGTGAAAGCATTTCGATAATGCATTATTTTTTTCTGTCATAAAGCAAAGATTTTTATAGTTTTAACAAATGACACCAATTACCACGCGATCGTCCAGCCAATCGGAATCACCATGTTGCACTCCCTTGTTCTACGTAACAGGACCTACTTCATGAATGTTAAAGCTCTGAGAAGTAGGAGATCTTTACGAATGTTCCAAACGTGATTTCCTTTTAATTTTTTTCATTAAAACATTCATTTAACGTTTTATTCTGTACAGATTCAGCTACATTCGCGTGACCCAGTACACGGCTATGAAAGCCGATGTGGTGCGTCAGCAGTTTCAGCAAAATGGATACTAACGGCCGCGCATTGTTTCTTCGGGTAAGAAGTCAGACTAGGCGAAAATGTTACAACTTTCCAAGCATTAAAATCAACTGATGGACCACTGACTATTTAATTCATCTTATATCCCACTAGTGAAATAAAAACAAAAATTAGGACAATTGTTCAGAGGTATCAACTGGATTTGTATCGAGGACCACATAAAAATTACAGTAAACACGAAGTGTTTTGAATGAATTTAAAGAAAATCATTTTAACAAAATGTTAGAAAAGAAAAAACAAAATAACTTTTAGCTAGACTGGATAATTCCTGAGAAGTATTCAGAATATTAAAGACAATTAATGTGTACTGACAAATGTGTTCAATTTCACCAATTATAAACACACAATATCAATTCAAAAACACAACTTCCCTTTTTCAGTATCAATATTTATTTATTTTATTTTATTAGTATCAATATAATACGATGCAGGAAACAAATAGCTTCTATCAGAAAAACAGTGCACTCGAGCATGTATTCCTCTTTTTACAAATGTTAAATCATTTCAAATTCTGAAATCATTTTTTAAAAGCTCTTTCTTCTGTAACAAGAAGTTTAATCCATTATTATTATTATTATTATTATTATTATTATTATTATTATTATTATTATTATTATTATAGTTGATTTTGTTGCAATTAATATGCACCGCGATAGGATTTCAAGGCTTTTAATAATATCTTCTTTTTACAGGTCTGAAAGTAATGAACGTTATGCAGTTGTTGGCAGCAGCACATGGGGCAGTTGGCAAACCAATCCAGAAATCACCATTGACTGCACGAAAGACTGCATCAGCCATCCTAATTACACTTCCGAATTGTTCACCATGTATCATGATGTTGGCCTCATCATTGTAAGTAAAATTTGCATTGCGGCGAACATAGCATTATGTGAGACAATCAGTTTACATAATTTCACGTTTACTTGATTCTTGAAGAAAGTTTTGCGAAGAATGAAAATATATTGCAAAGAAATTGGATAGAGGTTACACGTGGTACTTAGGAGATCGCAACGACTTTCACTTTTACTTAAAATGCAACTAGTTTTACATTTTTTAAATGTTAAATTTGCGCCAAAGCGGATTCATTGTCACTAATCCTGACGACCCTTTAAGTATTTTGCCACAGAAGTTTTGCATACGATTCAATGTATTCTTGAAACTAATTCAATGAGCTTAAACGGGGCATATTACTTGCGTATACATTCGCCATACGTGTTTTACAAGTCAAGGAGGACCAACTGCACTTTAGTTTGCAGCGGTCGTGTCCTTAAATCCATTTGGTATTTGTCCAATCGAATCTGATGTTGAATTAATTGGAACTGAACGTACTGAGATAAAACACACATAAGGAACCTCTGTTTCTGTTGACATATTGCCGACCAAATTACTTCAAATTTGGTGCCTTGTTTTTTTAACAGAGCGTTTGATGTTCTTTGAAGGCGTTTCAGAAGGATTATGCATTTTAAACTCGGCGCCTCCGAGCTAGTCTTAATTTTCCCCAAAGAGCGAATTTCTTCTCTGTTGATCAAACATTCATTTCTTTGTGTAAAGTTCCTTGAAGTCGATTGTCAACTTCTTTCTATTAGTTCGGAGCGTCACCGAAAGATCACACCAGCTCCTGGGGGCCACTCCCGCGTAAAATTGGCATTGTCGAAATACTAGGAATTTTCTATCACAGACGCCTGCTCGCATTGTCACCACAAGCTAATGCAGAAAGCTGAGTAAAAAAAAGCGTTTTGAATGTCTTCAAGGTTCGATCCCGAGTGTGCCAGGCACTGGATGTAGTCGAAACACGAAGCAAAAAGCCACAAAATTCGTAAGGAAAGGTTTAATTTCGTTTGAACAGAGGTAACTGTGACAACTTCTCCAATACTCGTTAATTCTTTCTCCAAGTAACAATCCTTGTCAATTGTGTGTCATCTCTTTTCCACAAAACTCTTGTCCGACAAAAACTACTGAGATAGAAGAGGCGATGGTCCGTTGCAATTTCCATCAAAAATGCTCTCCCAACTTTTCTTCCACTATTTCGCCGCCTGAACAGTTTCATTTTCCTTAGGTAAGAGGTGACTTCGCCTTCGACCACCGGCAAATCGTGCAGCTCGCGGACCAGGCGCCTGCCCCCGGGTCCCTCCTGACAGTGGGCGGCTGGGGCGCGGGGCCCGAAGGCGCGGAGATGGACCTCCTGCACAGCATCCAGATCCCCGCAGTGGACAACGCCGTCTGCGCACAGCTGCTGCTGCCCAGCATCGGCGCGGGCCAGCTGTGCGCGGGCTACGCCGAGGAAGGGCGCAACGCCTGCTCGGGCGACTCCGGAGGCCCTTTGGTAGCCAAGGGCGGAGCCTCCGGGCCCTTCGTGCAGCACGGCCTCGTGTCCCTTGGGCCCTTCTGCGCCTCGCCGCGCTCTTACGTTGTCTACACGAACGTGGCCGCGGAGAAGGCGTGGATCGAAAGTGAAATTGGCAGCTCTCGTTAAGGGCTTAATCTACGGAAAACTTCCATCTACAAAGTCACCCACCAGAACTTGACCCGTTCACTTGTGGAATCAACTGAAGGAATTCATATTGTCAAATAAACTTTTTTATTACAAGAAAAAATTGATTTGTTTATTATGGTATATTAACAGTTTGTAGAAGTATCCTTTTGTCTCTTTAAAACATCATTATGTATGGTCGAACAAACATAATGATACCCCACATTTCACAAATCTAAAATAAAGATATTAAATTTTCCCAACCAAACAAACAACATAAGTCCAACGCTATACGTGTTCATAGAACTACAGTGTGTGTATATAGAAAGGAGGAGGAAGTGTGGGCACAAACTGAGGCGTGTCAGGACTTGCAGAAACGTAGCTTTCTTCTCACTCACAAAAAATATGGGAGGCTATTAATGTCGCTCTTCAAGTATAATATTTTCCATTCCCTCTATCAGAATAGTATATTTGCATCGACAATACTTTGTAGAATATTCCAATTTCGTATGTTGGATAACATATCATTCTATGTACTGAAAATGGTGTAACTAGTAGTTGTTTTATGCTCGAAAAATGTATAAACCTTAATGTCTGTTAGTGAATGAAAATAAAATGTATACGAACAATAGATTTTCAAATGGAATTACTCGATAAAAAAGTCAATGTGTAATATTTATGGTAGATTATAATTCTCTTTAGTAGCCTCAAGTCCCGCCTCCCTCGGATATTTTCCTGTTAAAAAAATGTTAAAACAATGCACGTTCATAATAAACAAATTTGAAACAATAGTTTCTTAGATTGTTCATCCTAAGGCATAGAAGGTCATTGTTTTTCATATTTTTGTTTAATAGCAACATTAGGTTTAATTACTCTCAATGTGATAAACAGAGTCGTAACGATGCAAATTATGACGAAACGCAGTACTTTAAAGGCAATTCCCAACGTCTCATAACTTTTGGTGACTTGAAACCTCTAAAACCCGTTTCATTACTACTTCTCTAAAGTATTTTATAAGGATTGAGCTAAAATTAATGCCTCCCGATTTTTCTTATCAAAAGTAACGGAATACGTTATTTGTACCTTTGTAGATGTCTTACAACCTCCAAACACTCTCCCTCTAAAATTTCAAAATTAACATAATTCAACATTCTAGTTTTCGGGAAATACTCTATTGTAAAGTAAACCGAAATAAATTGAAAGGGGCTAATTTTCTATTATTACGCATTTGATATACGAGATAATGTTCAATTCTATTCTCTACATATTGGTTCCCGTGGTAAATGCTAATTGTTCCCATTCTACTCTTCAGTGTGACGCATGTTATTTTATCCACTTTCGTTCGGTAAGGTCAAATATTATGCCATTATTGTCACTTTCGTAATGAAGTACTTTACCGCCAAAGTTTGGTAACGTACTTCATTACCACACTGAGGCGGTAAAGTAATGACGAACTTCGCCAATCTCCTTTCCAAAATATTTTGGACTTTTTTGTCTTGTATCCCACACTTTTTCCCTTTAAAACACTAATAACTGAGTAAATTTACTGATATCAATGTTTTCGTAGCTGTCCGGTGTATAATATCGGATCGCGTAGTCACGCAGTTCACTGTCTGAGAGCGGCGAATTAATAGGCGAAAACGTCGGCCTCTCAGCAACGACGCGCGTCTCCCGGACCAGCAAGAAATTAAGCTGGAGTACGTGCCGCGGTACTTACGTTACAATTTGATAATCCCAATGTCTGTCATTAAGGAATTATTGTATTCTTTAAACATCCAGAGTAGTGGCAAGCAAAGGTTTTTGGTTTCTCCTCTCTTGACCAGGAAAAGTAAGCAATCAAATCTTTTTCCGATATGGAGGTGAACATTTCTTTTCCCACACCATCCTCAAAAATGAAAGAACTCACGCTCCATATTTCTTTCTTGGATTTGTTGAGTAACAATGTTTTTAAACAGAGTTGTTGATGTTTCGATATTCCCAATCAAAACTGTATTCACTCATGTCGAAAAGTATTCACAAGTGTGTTTCAATTGTTTCTTGTTGAGGACAGTGTCTGCCACTTATGGGAGAGAAAAAAATGTGAATACTAATTGAAGGGCTAGAACGAAATGCTCATATTTTAAATCTAACAAATTTTTACAGAAGTGGATACAAAACCCCGAAAGATTCGTTTCGTTAACATCGATTACAATATGCAATGCTTACCAAACGCGCCTAACAGCCTCATTTGCGCTATCCATTAATCATGATGCGATTTACTACTCTTATAACCCAAATAACTAGCGAATGAGGATCATATTCGGTTTCTGGGCTGTCCGGGTGACGCACTAGACTTGGCCGCGGAACCGTTACCAACTTATGAGGATCATATTACTCTTGTATCAAATAACTTAATACGAACTAGAATGGGAAGATCAGCTTTTATTTACATATTTCTCCAATAAATATTTGAAGCATATTTGATATCTATGAGTGAAATTTTCGAATAAAGTAATAAGAATAAAACATCTCAAGGCTTTAGCACGAGTTTCAAACCGAAACATCAATTAGTGAAACAGCTTGAATCCAACTTCGATGATTTTTCTTGCACTAAATATTCAATGTGTAATTCGCACAACCGAAATCATTAAAATAGTTCGTATACTTGTTTACCATGAATCTAAATGTATAAGATATAAATGAAGGCCATAAAATATAAATAGATAAAATACGTACGAATGTAAAAATCATATTCTAATCTATGTGCACGAAATTTATCTCACCAGATATATAACTAGTTCCAAGTCCTTAGTCAGCATATAAAAATCAACCAGAAAACACCCTTACTTTCTTGATAGACCCTTCCTTTATTTTGTTTCTTCATAAAACACTGATTTATAATCACACGCAGCATATTAGTCGATGGCTGCATCTCACGAAGACGCTTATGTAACAACGAAGCGTATAGGCTCGCTCTCAGTGTCACGTGCGCACTTTGCCGAGGCTTGGCTTTGGGGCCCGAGCGGAAAAACTCCCCTCTATCGGTGGGCGACTGCGAACCTTTCGGCAGAACTTGCCATCAGGCCCACTCGGGCACCGGGCCGCGTTTGCCGCCCCCAAACCCCCACCCCACTCCAAACTTCCAGTCGCTGCAGGAGCCTTACCGTAACCAGTGGCCCCGTCCGAACGACGCCATTGCCAGTTTTGCCTACCATCTGCGAACGCTCTCGATTTCTGCTAGTTCTCCTCTGTCTTCTTGGTGAGGTTTGCAGATTTCACTCATCCGTGTTGTCTGGAGCCCGGTCTACCTACCTCGCACCGCTGGTACCGTACTGGTAGCATAGCAGTGCGTCAGATATGTCTCAGCTACCCAAAGCCACACCTCAGATACATAAAAAAAGAACTGCCCATCACTCCAATTTAGTGTTTTATGCAATACAATAGTTACATCACTATAATTCATTTCCCTAAGACATGTAGTTCCGACAAGTCGTCCGGTTCAAATATTTCCTACACTATCTATATATTGTCTGAAAGAACTCTCGCAGATCGGATTTCTCGTCACCAGTATTTCATATCTGAGCCCACGTACTTGCAAACTCAACCACAATTATCTCATACATTCAAAAACATCAAACGTCATGCTCCCCATTGTCATCCGGTAAGGTCTCAGAGAGCCGTGATTGTCAAAGTCAGTTACCACAGTCAATTTCCAATTTCTTATATTTTATATCTTAGCATTCTTCTCATTTTCTGTTCTCTCCCGGCTTTATTTTCCAGCATTTCCCCACACACTAAATGTATTTCCATCACATCTACCAATTCATTCCGCCTCTACTCTCTCTTCGCAATCGGTCTTCGCTCTCACCCCCCCCCTTCGCCCCCCGCGCGAACAAGCACTTGCAATTGGCGGCCGTGTAATTATCGGATCGTCAAAGTACAATTATTCAGTCGCGCGGCGAATTCGCAGCAGTGCGGGAGCGAAAACGGAGAAGTTGCGAGGTTCCGCCTGACAAACACGACCGCCGCCAGCGCCCCCCCCCTCGGGCCCCCACTGGGCCGAGCTGGCAGACTTCGTCGCTGCCGCCGTCTTTCTTCCCCCACCCCCGCCCCCCCCGGCCCCTCCCGCCACATCGGGTGCCACACCCCACCTCAGTTCCCATCCCCCCGCCGAACTACTGCTAGGGACACTCGGGTCTGTACGTGAAGGGCTCCACCCGAGAGCAGATTACGTTTTGTTGCTGAGATGATACTATTGCCATGAATTGTAATATTCAAGGAGACCGTTTCTCTACCTGCACGTTTCCCCTTGCTTGTTATTTATTTAGCGAAGAGCAATACAAAACTACAGATAACAGTTCTGAATGCCATAAATCATATTACACAATACAGCAGTATGGATCCATGAAGTTCTTTATGTTTTGTTCCGAGTGACGTGAAATTTAAATACTTAATCACTGTTACCCTGCTTTTAAAATTCATGATTATTATATCCCGTACGCGAGAACTGCAAGATACACGTTTTAAAAACTTCCCAGAGAAGTAAAACATGGTTTATCCAAGTTTAGTTTTTTTTATTTCAAGACAATTTTATTATCGAAATTCTGATAAGAGATAGAAATACGGTAGTAATACGAAATGTGCCCGTTGGCATCAACTCTCATCCCACGCATTCTACACAAGCAAAAACAAAATGTAGCACTCTGAAAATCGTTTACTAACTCCTTCCCTTGCAGTTTTATGTAGTTCACACGAAATTTTCGTCAACTAACATGAATTTCAAATAAAATTGAAAAATAACATGTTATGAACCAGAGATGTTTGTTTGTGTAGAGCGAATACTCACTTTAGTTCCAATGTTTGAAACAATGATCACCAGTAATTTTGCAACATGAAAACTACGCTCTTGGAGATGTGTTACACCTAATTCTAGATAGAGGATTAATATTGTTCTATAATATCCGAGGAATTAACATGTATATTTTTAAACTTCGAAATATAAAATCATTATTTACTAAAAAAAATACTCAGTTTATTGGAAATAATATTTTATGTTTGAAGTTATTGTTCTAGATTGTTCTCAAATATTGTATTCCTGTTCATCTCAGTATTACATTCAGGATAAATTTCAAGGTGCAACATCAACATTTACTTGATCTATATATAACATATGTTTTGAAAACATTAAGATCAAAGAGGATTAATCTGAAAAAAAATAACATTCATTTCCAATCCTCCAGATGGACCAGGCGCACCACACCAACGAATTGTACTGGTTATTCGAAACGCATTGCAATGTGCCCAAACAATTTCTTTCTATTCATCTGCACCCCTCATTTCACATTGAAACTATTCGCGCCCGCAGCGCGCTGTGTTCGCATCGCGAGATTTCTTGATTTCTGGGTCACGAACGTGCTCACTCTCTACGCAAATATATATGGACCGCGCTTGTTGCCTTGTATCGATTGTGAGCCGCCGCCCGCCGCCGCCGCTGCAGTGTGGCCATTGCCAATGCCTGAGCGCGGTCCGTGCGCACGCTAGCTCCGCTCGCGTGGTGGAGGAGAGGCGGGGCAGGATTAGGGGCGGGGGCGGAGGCGGAGCGGGGCTGCGCGGTCGGGGCGGGGGGGTGGGCCGAGGGTTGGGTGGAGTGGAGTGTGAAGCAGGGCGAGGGCCAGGGCGGGTGGGCCCGACGGTGGCCGGACGCGGGGCGGGCAGAAGCTTATGGCGGGCGCGGGGCGGGCGGCAGCGGGGGGGGTGAGTTGTCGAATCGGATCTTCCGTCGCTACCCCCTGGATTCACGCAGATTGCCACCTTCTTTCGTTTTGTATTCTCTGGCCTGCTGCGCGCTCTCACACGGCGACGCGTAAAGATTTAAGCCGCACTTGAATCGGAGCGGCACGATCCACGCGGGGCAAGGAGCGGAGGGGTGCACACTGGTCCGAAATGAGCCAAAGGGTGCGCATACACAAAAGGTTGCACATTACCCCGTAAGTAGTATATACCGTATTTACGCGAATCTAACGCGCCATCGAATCAAATGTCCACCCCTTATATGAAACCTGAAATTATAAAAATAGGATTTGTATCGAATATAATGCTTGTCAATGACACAATATTAGGTATTTTATTTAAATTTACGTAAAATATCAACGATCTTATCTGTTTGACCTGCATATTGTAACTAAAAATCCTCTACGCTAGGCCAATGATAAATGAAATGAAGTTGAATTTGAAAATTCGAGCAATCCATTGCGACGTAATAAACGAAACAATTGGAGTTACTGTCGTTCTACGGGACGGATTTGTACTCGAAGTTAATGCCCCATCGGATCTAACGCGCATTATGATTTTGAGTATTACATTTAGTAAAGGTGCGCATTATATTCACGTAAATTCGGTAGTAACACAAGTATAGAAATACAGTACAAATAAAAAGTGCTCGTTGATATGAACTATCATCAAAAAAATTCATAAAATTTTGACAAGATCTTTCTACCACTCGCAGTTGTATTCAGTTCACGCGAAATTTTTAACGAACTATCGCCAGTATAATAAATTTAGCTGAGCTCTTGGAATCGCTGTCATTCTGCTTGATGCACCCCGCTTGACACGTTTGCATTACACGCTCCGTGTTGCAGTGATGCTTGCAATTGTGATCAGTGATATTAATTAATGTAAAATGGGATGTCGCCGGAAAAAAATAAAAGAAGAGGGAGGAGAACAAAAACGAGATACATAAAAAAGAAATAAAAGATGTAATGGAGGAATGAGTGAGAACATTAAAGGATGAAAAAGATAGAGCTGTTATCATATTCCAATTCTATGTGGTCTATTGTCACATAGAGAACCTTTAATTTTGAATATTCTTATTTCTTGCTGAAGAAACCTGAGCTTAGCAAAGTCCCTACAACTGTTAAAGGTTAAATAAAATTGAAAATTGTAAGTGGTCATGCTCAGTATCAAAACGTAAGCCATTGCATATATTTTATAAAAAGTGTTGACAAAAGAAACAATAAAGAGAACATACATATCAATTCAAATACATTGTTGACCACATATATCTTTATAAATCTACACCACCTCTCTTTGAATTATTATAATGTATTGTTTTCTACATTCTGTGCTACTGGATTTAACGAAGCATATTTAAAAAGTCTAGTAAGCCGAACAACAAGTTTCTATCCTTTGCAGTAAAAAATATTAATATTATTTAGTTTGTTAAATTAAACAATTAACATTGAACCACGTTTAGTCTGATTGCTAGAAATTCACGTGATATTTCATTTTAAATTCCCCAAAGAATTACAAGTAGTTAATTACTTTTATGACAAGTAACTATTCGCGTTGCGAATAACGTTCTACAATGAGAGAGGAGAGAGAGAGGGGGGGAAGAGAGAGGAGAGAGAGGAGAGAGAGAGGAGAGAGAGGAGAGAGAGGAGAGAGAGAGAGAGAGAGAGGGGGGGAAACAGAAAAAATATAAAATAATTTGTTTCAGTAGTGCACATTATTTCCACAATGAGGCAGGTAGTAGCGGCGTTGTGATTATGTGATAATGGGTGGTGCTAACCAGTCACGTCGCTCGGGACACTAGTCGGGAGCTTAGAGCGAGTCCCGGCAGGGGCGGTTCACGCTGGTGGACGACCCCTGGTTGGAGAAAATCCCCGCTAGCCGACGTAGGTCAGCGCCAAATCTCGACATCCAGTCGAGGACGATCACCGGCATTTCCCTTGATCAAACATTTATGGGAACCACACTTATGGGAATAATGAACTTAGCAGTTGACGTGCCAGGAATCACAATCAATCAATCAATCAATCAATCGTCGTGCAGTGAAAAAGAAATGATGAATGATTGGCAACAGTGTACGAAAAGCAGTGAAATCGAGAGATCCTCATGACAACCTGCGAAGAGATTTTTCCAAGATATATTCAACGTGTTTAGACCAGTAATTAAAACCCTGTCCCTACGCTGATAGGTGAGCGGTTCAACCACAACACTACGGCTCATTATCTTGGGGTTGGACCTAAGATTTCTTGTGTCATTAAACACTGCAGAAAACCCGCTCTCCTAGAACCACGTATGTATCTCACACCTTAAGTCTTTACAAAGAATGAACGATAATTTACATATTTTTCTACAGGAAATGCAACCAAAGAACTATCCCCGACTATTAACTACTATATGGCCATAAATCGAAGGTAAAGATTTGCCCATTTGTTGGTGTTTTGTGTTAGTGACGAGAATGTCTCCGTGACTGCTTCAACCTTAAGGTTTTTTAGAAATTCATTTTAATTTCTTAGTCAATCTTTTTTGTTACTGTTTATTAAATGTGTTGTTAGTCTCGGCGCTGATTTATGATACATAAAGCAAAACGCAATTGGTTTGCGTGTTGCATTAGTGGAAGGCATGGACCCAAGAGTGCTTGGATCCAGACTCAATTGCAAAATCCATTGATTGATCGATTGATTGATTGATTGATTGATTGATTGATTGATTGATCGATTGATCGATTCATCGATTGATCGATTCATCGATTGATCGATCGATCGATTCATCGATTGATCGATTCATCGATTGATCGATCGATTGATTCATCGATTGATTCATCGATTGATTCATCGATTGATTCATCGATTGATTCATCGATGATATTCACGATTGATTCTCGATGATAATCATGCTCGAGATATCGTGATTCATCGATTGTCTCATTGATTCATCGATTGAAGTCATCGATTGATTCATCGATGCATTTCATCGATGCTTCGTTAATTCATCATGATTTCATTGATTACGTGTATTCAATCGATGTCAATCGATTACATCGAGATCATCGATGATATCATTTCATCGATTGATCATTGATCATCGCATTGATTCATCGATTGATTCTCGATGTACCATCGATGATGATCATCGATGTTCGATCACATCGATTGATACATCGATTGATTCATCCCGATTGATTGACTCAATCGATTGATTGATTCAATCGATGATTGATTCATCGATTGATCTGATTCATCGTGATGATTCTCGATTGATTGAGTCATCGATGATGATTCATCGATTGATTGATATATTGATTGATATATTGATTGATATATTGATTGATATATTGATTGATATATTGATTGATAGATTGATTGATAGATTGATTGATAGGTTGATTGATAGGTTGATTGATAGGTTGATTGATAGGTTGATTGATAAGTTGATTGATAAGTTGATTGTTAGGTTGATTGATAGCTTGATTGATAGCTTGATTGGTAGCTAGATTGGTAGCTAGATTGGTAGCTAGATTGATTGATAGATTGATTGATAGATTGATTGATTGATAGATTGATTGATAGATTGATTGATAGATTGATTGATAGATTGATTGATAGATTGATTGATCGATTAATTGATCGATTAATTGATTGAGTGGTTGATCGATTGATTGATGTTTCCGAGCACGTCCACTGCTATCGTCATTAGTCCTGTATGTGTAGTGAATGTGTTTGATGCCCGGATGTGGTAGTGATCCTCTCCCGTTCGATGGTGACATCCGGCGCCGACCTTCACGTTGGCTTACAAGGGAATTCCCTCTCCAGGTAATCTCTTCCATTGGGGCGTCGCCCTAGACTGAACAAGGCTCTAAACTCCCGACCGATCTCCCGACATGTGTGGTAATGTAGTGTATATAAGAGAGCGTAAATACGAAGAAATGATTGAACAAGGAAGAGAAAGGAAAATCCCGCGCGGTTTCGTGGCCCATTGGTTAGGGTACTACTCTGGCATTCACCTGTAATTGACAGGAAAAACACGAAAAACATCCAATCAGAGCAACAGATCTCTAGAATTCTCCTCCAGACAGCGACTGAATTCGGCCTAACTAGCAAGTATCGAAAATCCACTACCTTAGAACCTCCAGAGCAGAATCAGTACAAAGACAGAGGAAACGCCTTAATATGATTTATTTCGGTGTGCTCTTTTCGTAAATCAGCTGTTGCTATTTCATCCAATCGGGTGCTTATATGCCGCTACAGTGACGACACTGCGGGGACGCTCACGCTCCCGTTTGGATGAAACCGCGAACAGCTGATTTATGTTGAAATGAATCCTAGCATAGCTCTGAGCTAACCCCAGCCGAAACGAGCGCGGGTGGCTGTTC